TTGGGTTTAGGGTTCGAGGTTTAGGGTTTAGGGTTTAGGGTTTAGGGTTGAGGGTTTAGGGTTTAGGGTTTAGGGTTTAGGGTTTAGGGTTGAGAGCTTAGGGTTTAGGGTTTAGGGTTCAGGGTTCAGGGTTTAGGGTTCAGGGTTGAAGGTTTAAAGTTTAGGCTTCGTGGTTCAGGGTTTCGGCTTTGGGGTTGAGAGGGTTTAGGGTTTAAAGCCCCCAGAGCCCCAAGGAGCTCCCAAAAGCCACGCTTTAGGGTTTAGAGTTCGGGGTTTAGGGTTTAGGGTTTAGGGTTTGCGGTGTAGGGTTTAGGGTTTGCGGTTTAGGGCTTGGGGTTCACGGTTTGGGGTTTGGGGTTTAGGGTTTCGGGTTTAGGGTTTCGGGTTTAGGGTTTAGGGTTTTGGGTTTAGGGTTTAGGGTTTGGTCTGCCTCAAGGATCAGGAGACGTAGTATGTGTGCAGGTCAGAAGTATAGTTACAGGTGTAGAAGTCGCAGACCTCGCTTAGGGAGTCTTCTTCCTGAGGACGGTTTAGGGTTTCGGGTTTAGGGTTTAGGGTTTAGGGTTTAGGGTTTAGGGTGGACTTCGTCGACAGGTTTACAGGTAACTTACAGCAATGAACTTGTTGAGTAGATATAGCATGATATAGCTATCGTCACCTTGTGTCCGGCAGAGTAAGACGGTCCTCGTCACCAACCAGGAAGTGTCGCACCGTCTTTCGACACCAAGTAGAGCTGTAAGTATGCCAACCCGTCTTACTTGTAACATAGTTTCTTAGCTCCTGGAGCCTAAGTCCTAAATCCTAAGCCCTCAATCCTAAGCCCTAAATCCTAAGCCTTGCGCCCCTGCAAAGTCCGTTACTCCTTGTGGCAGGCACCGCTTTCTCTTCCCACCGGAAGCACGGCGCGAAGCGCAGTGATGCAGACGGCGGACACCATCGAGGAGAGAAGGGTTGCATATTTCTAAAAGGTTTAGGGTTTTTGGTTTAGGGTTTAGGGTTTCCAAGAGGTTTTACAGGGTCTTTCAAGGATTTCAAAAGGTTTGGACATTAGACTATGACTATGTCGTGAGAGTAGACCTGTGCACCCTTTCTACTTTTTTGTGTTTCTTATCCAGACTAGAAGAATTGGTAGCCAATTTTTCAAATCATACTACTCGCCAAAATAGTAAGAACAGCAATAAGAATAATAAGAGTAATGAGAAGAATAAGAGAAAGAAGAAGACGAAGAACAGCAACATAAGTAGGCACCATGTGTTTTGGGGGAATCCGGATTAAGCTTTTGAGCAGGTAGGAATTAACGAAAACTTCGCCTAGGCCTGACAAAAACGCCTGGTCAGACCACTTAGAGCTCCTTTATCAAGACCCTTTCAAGCCAGGCTAGAAGAGCACGTAAATAGCTGTAGTCGTGAACCTCAAAATCCACAGCCCTAAAGCCTCAACGAAGCCACAAAAAACAGGAAAGCCCTGAACTGTCAACTTCAGGAACTCCTGGAGATGTTGCCCGAGACCCAGACGGCTGCCTGAGTGGGTTTGCGGCTTGCACCTAGGGTTCGGGGTTTTTGGGTTTCCATAACCCTAAACCCTAAACCC